GGTTTTAGTACAGTGCACTCTACTCCTTCAAATTCCTTTAATAGAATATTCCTTCTGCCCTGAGAATTTCTAGCCATTTCTTTATATATGTTGGAGATGGGCAAATGTCTCTAACTCCTTAGTTGTGAACTACCTGTCTTCAGCTTTGGGTTTCAGGTGAAATCTCTCTTTCTTTCTCTCCCTCTCTCTATATAGGATAAATGTAGATATTAAAAATATATGATATATTATGTATTTAGATTTTTATAAATTATATGCAAAGTTCCTTTTTTTGGCCACATTACATATACATGGTTTAACAGGTTTCCCCTAATTTAAGCATGTATTTGGGATGGTCTGATTAAATCCAAGCTGTCAATAGACAAAATTCTCTTTTAGGTTCCTGATGTAAATTTTTAAAGACAGATCATCTTTCCTTAGGGAAGCTGAAATAGCCGTGTAATTACATCCAAAAGACTGACAAATCCAACTCTAGAAGCAATAATTAAGATTGATATAATCAAAACTTTCATAGTAAAATAGAAGAGGTTTTCACATGTAACTAAACTTCCTAATGACCCCTGTGAAATATTTCTATTATTGAGTTTCCCCAAAGTTTCATACTAATGGCAGCTGCTGCATATCTTTTGTTTCAATATTTTCCTATCTTTCTCTCCTACATACATAGGGATCCTCCCTACAGATCTGCTACATGCCCCTCACTTTTTAATTAAATTTTTCATTTGAGATAAATGTAGATTCACATACAGTCGTAAGAAATGATACAAAAGATCCTCTGTACCCTTTACCCAGTTTTCCCCAAATGTAATGTCTTGGAAAACTACAGTACAAGATCACAATCATGATACTAACCTTGGCACACCAAAATACAGAACAGTTTTATCACCACAAGGATCCCTCATGCTGCCCTTTTATAACACCCGCTTTCCTCCCACCCCAACTCCCTTTCAATACCTGTAACCATCAATCTATTTTCCATTTCAATAATTTTATTACTTCAGGAATGTTGTATAAGTGAATCATACAGTGTGTCACTTTGGAGGTTTTTGTTGTTGTTGTTGTTGTTTTACTTGTCAAAATTTAGTGGAGCTATTCCCTTTCTAAACAGTAAAATTTCTTATGTCAAAATTTGTACATATACACATTATCTTTATTATTCGGTGATGTCTGGGAAAACTCAAGATACACAAATGTCTTTGCTTCATGGAGCTGACCATGTGAAAATAAACTTTCTTGTAAACCAACATCTGCTATACGGAATATCCCACTTTGGATTTTCACCTTAGTGCTCATATCAGAAACCACTGTTGATTCCCTCTAGTCACAGTTTCTTATATGTAAAGTTGCAGGCTGTGGGTTTCTGCTGCTATGGAGAATAAATGTTTATTTCTTTTAGGTATCTTCTAGGATTCCACAAAGTAACATTTATTTTTCTTTGTACGACCATATAAACTATTTTTAAAGTAAAACGATCACAACTTTGTCCTCCAAATTTGATTTTTATATGATGGCATGGTAGTGAGATGGAGAGACAATGGGTTATAAAGAATCTGACTTTGCCCAAAGAGAGATCTGGCCTTTGTCTGTGGCTCATTGGTGGTAGTCTTGGGGTATCCTTGTTTAGGGTGGATATAGTCACACCTAATAGTTTCTAGTAGTTTTATGATGAGGGCTGACTATGACAGAAGGACCAACCATGTCACAAAGGGTAAAACAATGGGGTGTATGCTTTGGGCCATGCATTATCAATGAGTTGGAAACTGAGTTCAACCACTTAATCAATCAGTCAATCAATCATGACTCTGTAATAAAGGCACAATAAAAACTCTGGACACTGAAGCTCAGGCAAACTTCCCTGATTGCAATACTCCGTATTGTTACACATCAGTGTTGGAAGGGTACTGATTCCATGGCAGGGAATAGAGAGAGCTATGCATTTGGAATTATCTCAGACTTTCATCTATGCATTTCTTTCTTTGGCTTATTTTTATCTGTATCCTTTTACTGCAATAAAACATAACCATGAGTATAATAGCTTTCAATGAGTTCTTCTAGGGAATCATTGAAATTAAAGTTGATTTAGGGAATCCTGTGCACTTATATTGCAGCCAACGTCAGAAGTGAGGGTGATCTTGCAGAGGACTGTGTCCTGAGACTTTGTATTTTGGCTGACTCTTGGTTTATAGACATAAACCTCATTGTATTTATATAGATCTGAAATAACAAACATGGGGGTTGTGCACAAAAAATTTGGCATGAGATGTGCTTTGTATTGCCCACATCCCATTGTAGAAAAAAAAAAACGACATCACAAAATGAAGGGCTATAAAACATCTCTTGAAAAATCAAGATGTGTAGCTGATAGCCCAGATTTCACTGTTTCTAAAAGGTAGATATCTCCACTACATGGAGTTTCATGCCAGTTCCTTATCTGCCCATGTACAATTTGAGGTTTGGGGCTAAACTTAGATTTGTCATCTACATTCATTAGTAAAACTGGCCTGTGATTTTGTTCTGTTTTTATATCAAGGTCATATTGCTTTAAAGAGAAATTAGACAATTTTCCATTTTCTTTTTTTAAGCTCTGGAACAATTTTATGGCATGAAAATTATCTAATCCTTAAAAGTTGCAAATAACTAAAACACAAAAATACTTTGATTTAGAAAATTTTTGGTGGTAATAAGTCTTTCTTCTAATTTGATGATCCTTTTAATTATGTTTTCTATCTCTTGAATCAAGTTTTGTAATTCAGCATCAAACTTTCAATTTAGTAGCATAAACGTATATATACCATATTAACTCACAATTTAAAAATTTACCTCTGAAGCTTTAACTCATTCATATTTATTTTTCTTCCTTTTTTGATTAGTTAAGCTTGTCAGATATAAATGTTTGATCATTTTCTTCCTTTGAAGACCTACTCTTTATCAATTCAATTTTCTAATTCATAAATTTATAATTTTAACTTTATTATTTTCTTTCATGAGATTCTGTCTAAAAAATTATTTTTTAACTTCTTGAATCGAATGCTCAATTTATTATTTTATTCCTGTATGTTAAATAATCAAAGCCATATTGCAATAAATAGTGTTACTTTTGCATTTTGTATTAGTATGCTTTAAAATGTTAGGACATTTTTTTCAGATCCAAAGACAGAGTAGAAGACAAACTTCCACAAAAAGGTGCATATTTCTTTAGATAAAGTTTTAAAATTAGGAGCTACTTTTAGAAATTTAGCTAGCTACAAGCTCCAGATGCACTAAAGTTCAAGAAAGTTTGCTGTAACGGGTAAAATGTCACTTGCTGAGTGCCAGGAAATGGGTGACCAGCTTCTGATAATGGCGTACAGATAGGAAATGCACTGATTCCATGAAGCAGGTAGCAACTAAGGTGGAGCTTGTAAGAGTGGAAAAGTGACTGAGAGGATGCAGAGAGTTGGGGGACCAGGAAGCATAGACCAAAGTGTAAGTGGAAAGCACGCCACTCTATACCCCATTAGCTACCACTGTGCGCTGCTGTGTAGCTGAATGGGAGTCCAGGCAAAAGCCAGTGCCAAAATGCCTTGTTTCTGGTATGGTAATTGGATTCCCTATCAAAAAAAAAGCATTTATAACTATGCATTTAACACTGAAAAGTACTTTGGATGTGTTAACACATTTTAACATGTTGTATTCCAGTTGTTTGTATTTTTCTAATTAATGTGGAATTGTAACTTAAAAAAATTTCTGTTTGGACCAAATTACTACTTGGGAGAGCATTTTTAATCTGTAAAAAACCAGAATTTTGTTTAATTATCGAGAGAAACATATGTATGCTTACTGTATTTAGAACAGATTGTGGGAGACTAGTTGGGAAGTAATCATCCAGGTGAGAGCTAATAGTGACCTGAACCAGAATGGTAGCAAAGGTTAAATTCTGGATGTATTTTGACAGTAGATGGAAAAGGAATTGCTGATGGATGTAAGAGGAAAAAGGAGTGAAGAATGACTCCAAGCTTTTGCTCCTGAGGCTACTGGAAAGAGGGAGTTGGCTTGTGCTGAGATGGGGAAGTCTGGGAAGAGGGTCAGTTGATTAATTTGGAGTATGTTAAGTTTGAAATGCTTATAAGACATCCAAGTAGAGACGTCAAGTAAATAGGGGGCTATAAAATCAATTCAGGGATAAGGTCTGGCAGATATACATATGGGGTTGTATTTAAAGTAATGAGATGGGATGAGTTTATCCAGTGAAAGAGTAGAGCTATAGAAGAAAAGAGGTCTAAGAATTAAGCGGAGGCACTCCAGGGTTAGGTGGGAAAGACGAACAGGAGCCAGTAAAGAAGACTGAGAAGGAACATCTAGTAAGGTTGGGGACAAGGATGTGCTATTCCGGAAGCTAAGTGAAGAAGGTATTTCAAGGAGGAAGGCTGCTACAGAACAGGTAATGCCCAAGCCGAAGTTGATTATATTGGCCAGTGTTCGATGCTGTCTTTGACTCCTCTCAACCTTCGTCTTTCTTGGTGGCTCTTTCTTCCTTCCTCTTTTTCCTTCCCAGCCCCACTTTGCCCCTTCTTTCTTTCCTTTGCTTCAATTGTTTGCCTGTTTTATTTTGTTGTGTCTCTCCTAGAAGCCTCCTCAGATGCCTCAGACAAGGAGTCTTGTCTTGGCTAAAAACAGCATGTGTTTCTAAATATACAATGAGGCTGCCCCAGATTGAATGTTCCTGTAACAAATAATGTTGCTTACATAATCTTCAGAATTTGCTATGTTGGCCATGTTAAACTACCTGTCAATTAAGAGCTTTATTCTGCCTTGTTACTTTCAATTTGAATCTCCCAAATCTTTACCATATGGATTCACAGTTCTGCGGCCTCCTCTCACTGAGAAAATATCCCACTGTTCTAAAGTTAATTGGTTTTTAATTATGCATTAGCTTTAATATTGATAAAATAACTAAATGCGGGCTAGAAAGCACAATTTATGTTACTTATTCATCTACTAGAATTTTTCCATGGTCCTACCTGTATGGATCAAGGCAAGCATTTATCAAGATTCCAGCTCCTCTGGGTTCGCTGATAACATCATTTCATTTAGGCTTGCCCATCCTAGCTGCGTAGTGTGATCATTAATCTGTAGAAATGTGTCCTAGAATTAAAGCCAAGGCAATGTACACATTAGTGAAATACCCAGTGGTAGACTTGTGGGAAGACATTCTTACCTACTATCATTGGACCCTATATACAATGTACAAGTAACAGTAGCATTTGATTGTAAATAATAACCTTTTATATTCTACCTCCTGAAAATCAGCTGATGGATAAGTAAAATATGTTATATTTATAAAATACTAAATAGCAATTAAAATGAAAAATGCTACATGTATCATAAAAAAATGGAAAATGTTACATTCTAAAAACAAGTTGCAAAAATATGCTACATGATATATATTTATGTACATGTTTAAAAAGCACAAAATAATACTACCTATAGTTCATAATCTCTCTCTCTCTCACACATACACACACACACACGCATGCATGCACACACACACACGCACACACACACACACCCCTCTAGTAAAGGTATAAAAACATGGATGAGAAGACTACTCACTAACTTTAGGAGATTGTTGTCTCTTCAGAGGTAGGAAGAATAGTAGGATGACTTGGTAGTTTTGGAAAAATCTGGCTAATGTTAAAATATATTGAGTAGCAGCACTGAACATGTTTCACAATTAAATTTAAATTTTAACAAATCATCCCCATATTAATGACACCTTTTAAAAGTATTACTACAAATATATCTTTCCATTAGGGAACGGTCTCTACTGGGACACTGTGGGGTCATCTTCCCTTAGAAATGGTATGAGTTTGGTTAGGTCATAGTCTTCCCAATTAAAGGCACGGCTCATTACTCATGTGACCCTATAGAGGCTTAGTCCTTCATTTAAATAACTAATCCACAAAATGCTGTTTTTCCTCAGCCTTACCAAATACAAAACTTCAGGCGTTAATACTACCTGGATAATGGAATCACAGTTTCAGAGTGCTTTAAGTGGATTTCTGTTTTTCCTGCAGGAGAACTGCTTATCTGTGCAACAGTCTATCCAAGGGCCTTTGGGCGATTATGCTGTGAATGTGACATCTGCAGCCAAGTTCTGTGGTCAGAGTCTATGTAACAGTCATGGAAGATGTATTCGAAAAACACCTAAGTCCTCCTTCTATCTTCATATACCTGAAAGCAGTGGTAAGAAATATGTTCTAAATAAGAGTTTCAGATTCGTCATTTCTAAAAACAATAAGGAGAAGACAATAACAGACATGAAGAATGGATTTGCGTGTCACTGCTACTACAGCTGGTATGGACCATCTTGTCAGGATCCCTCTTCAGATCTCCTAAGAGAGATGAATAAGGCTCCTAATATTAACTTCAATTTATTAGTTTTTCTCAGTATGGCTTTTTCTTTGATTCTGCTAAAAGTTTTTTGAGCCCTTACTACAATGCCAATTTTTCCCTTAACTACTGAACAGTAGCAAATGTTGATTTTTTTTTTCAACTTCAAGCCTCTCCCAAAATATGTATTGGCTTTAAAGTAAAAAAATAAAAAATAAAAAAGATAGTCATTGATGTCATTCGTTGATATAGCAATTATTTATTGGATGTTTACCTTATGCAAGGCAATGGGGGAAAGAAAGTGAATATACCTGCTCTCAGGAAGCTTAAATTCTTGTGGGAAAATAAACAATGATAAGTAAGCAATAAACAAGCCTGGGCAACATAGCAAGACCCCATCTCTACCAAAAATAAAAGAAATAGCTGAGTGTGGTGGTGTGGACTGTAGTTCTAGCTACTTGGCAGGCTGAAGTGGAAGGATCATTGAGCTCAGAGATCAAAGCTGCAGAAGCTATGATTGTGTGACTGCACTCTAGCCTGAGTGACAAAGTGAGACCCTGTCTTAAATAAAAGTTTTTTAAAAATCCAATAAACCAAGAAGCACACACATATTTGGTGGTCATAAGTGCTCTGGAGAATGATAAGGAGGGGGTAAAAGGATTAGGGAGTGTGAGAGAACACTGGAAATATTACAGAAGGGAGTCAAAGCCTCTCTGATGAGATGTCCTGAAGGCAGGAGCAGGTCACAAATATAACCATTCTTGGAATAGGGAAATGCATTCTTGGAATAGGGAATAGCAAGTGTGAAAGCAAATTTGCTCCAGTAACTGGGGATCCCTAAATATTATAAGTGATCCTAGGATGCCAAGTTATCTGGGTGAAAGTGAATCTATACTGAATACAACTTTACCCAGTATCACCAACGCCCTTGGAAATTCATTCAGCAATCATCAATATCAGAAGATAAATTGTATTAGGCTCCCATAAAATATGAGACATTCTTTTATGTGATATTTGTTGGTCTGTACCTAAGTACCATATCTAAGTAGTTCGTCAGCTTTCAGTGCATGCGATTCATGTAGTCACTTAATCTGATCTAGTTGAAATCCAGATGAGCTTCTATCATAAAGACTCAAAAGATATTATAATGTCCCCAGTGTTATTTCTCCCCTTAGTTTAGGGAAGATACTTCCCAGTCTGATGTTTTCCAAATACTGGACATCCACATATATTGCATGCTGGCATATATAGAGGGCTTTGATAGACAGATCACACTCAAACTCCTATTTTGATTTATTTGCTTGTGCATTCATTCATTATTCATTCATTCATTTTTGGGGAGAAGTAAAAGTTAAAAGGGGCAGTGATATATAGTAAACTAAATTGTGGGCTATTTGATAAGTTTTCCTCTTTTATTGGTGTCCTGCTGCAGCAAGGCTGTACTTTGAGTTAGTAGATTCTTGTATTCAACCATGACATGTGTTGGTATTGAGACTCAATAAGTGAAAAGTAATGGCTCCTTTTATCCTTACAGTGATGATAAGTTCTTCAACAATTATTATGTCATGGTTTTGATATTCAATGAACTCCAATAAAGGAAGCAATATTAATAATATTATTACCATCTTGAAGATGGAGAAAATAAGAAGAGAATAAGAGGCATAGCCAATTTTCTCCAGCAATCAATGAATACTTCAAAGATAAATAGGATTCATATCAGGCCACTGTTTAACCTTACAGTGCCTTCAAAATAATCAGGACATAATAAGATTCAAGGTAGATGAAAGAAAAAGAGAAAATATACATAAATACATGGAAAAAATTAGGAAACACTGCAATTCTATTAACCACAGACAATCATATAACTTTTTCTAAATAAGAAGATTATTGAATTTTATTTCACTTAATTTTAATAGCAAGTAAAATAAACTAAAACCAAAGAAACTGCCACATTTGTAGTAATGGAATCTTCAAAGTTTTAATTTGTAAAAAAAAAAACAAAAAAAAAACCAACTCTTTTCAAGTTAAAAACAGATCATGAAAAGCATTCAGGTTTTTTCCTAATTTATTTTAACTTTTATAATTTTGGACTTCCAGACTATAATACTTTGTCAACTGCCTCATAAAAATGAGTATCATCAATTATGTCTTATGCTAAGACAAACTTTTTTTCTAAAAAATAAATGAAAATTTAAACTCTTCCTATGCCTATAATAATTTTCCAAAAGAAATTAGTAAAAAGTACACCTGTAAGCAAAATATCTTATAAATACCACAAATCACTTTAGCAAATAAAATCTACGTTCTGATAGGTAGTACCTGTTAGAAACCCAAAGAGGGCTTATTTCTGTCCTGAATTACCTGAAAAATGACAATTTTGTCTACACTTTAGGGCAGTATTGTTTCCTACCTCCCATTATTGTTTTTAAAAAAAGACAGCACAACACTCTTCACCTAGACATAAAATTTTTCATGGGATACTTATTTTTCCCAGTCTTATATGACCACATCATTTTTTGAATCAGAAGGGATGTATGTCTTCATTTCAGAAGCAGTATGTTATAATCAGTTTTTCTGGTCTTTAGCAGATTTATGTCATGGCTATTTTTATATTGGAGACATTCTTTACAAAATCTTCTGACTTTATTTCTAATTTAGATTCTCAGTTTTGGCTCAATATAATTTGCTGTTGATTTTTTTTCAAATAGTTTGATAATTTTCACTGTTTAGCTATAAAATTACTATTAGACAGATCTTGGCTTCTCTGCATCTGTACCCCGTGTTGCTTTCCTCTCACATTTCTAAGTTTCTGTCTTTTCTGTCTTGTCTTACAGATTTGCTCACCTCTTTTTCTAGAATACTAGTCTGTTCTGTACCTACAATGGTTTGGCTATGGTTTATCAGTCCCCACAAAAACTCATGTTGAAATTTGATCCTGAATGTGGTGGTGTTGGGAGGTGAGACCTAATGGGAGGTGTTTGGATTGTGGAGGTGGACCCCTCATAAAGGGCTTAGTGGAATTCTTGTGGTACTGAGTTCTTGCTCTGGCAAGACTGGATTAGTTCTCATGGGAATGGATGAGTTCCCTTATTATGGATTGTCATAAAGCCAGGATGCCCCTTGCATTTTGCCTCCTCATACATGTCTGCTTCCCCTTTGACCTTCTCTGCCATGCTATGATGCTGCATGAAAGCCCTCACCAGAAGCCAGGGCCAGGATCCTGAACTTCCCAGCCTGCAGAGCCATGAGCTAAATAAACCTCTTTTCTTTATAAATTACCCAGCCGATAGCAATGCTAAATGAACTGAGACACCACTATTATTTTGACACTTACTTTAATTTCAAAGAACTTTTTTGTGTGTGTGCGTGTGTGTGTGTGTGTGTTTGTGTGTAATATGATTGCTCCTTTGTCATAGAACTCTTATTGTGGTTTGGTTCAACAGCTTCTTAGATCTCTCTGAGGCTATCAATTAGATTTTTGAAAAAATTTTCTATTGTTATACCTTTTATTCCATTCCACTTCCTTTGAGAATAGAATGTTGTTCCCTTTGTTAATTTTTTTATATGTTTGGTCTGTAGCAAATGTTTTGTGATCTTTGGTCATCCATTTATATTTATAAAGGACCAGAGTAATTGAAAAATCTGTCATGGGGATTTCTGCAACTTCCATGCATTTGTTGGGCATATTTACTCAACAGGATGATTTTATTGAGTGGGAGGATGGCCTGTAGACTCTGAAAGTGGTAAGAGTGCATCTGTAATAGATGATTAGAAAACAGGCAGGTTAGTAGAAACCCCCATAATTATTAAAGTAAAGAGGAAATTATCATGGAAAAGGAGTGTGATTTTCTCCTGGGCTGAGCAGCCTTTCCGTTTTCTATGCCTTCTGTGCCCACTGGAAAGATTCAGATATGTTCATTTTAGGTCTGCTTTTATATTTGGTTCAACATACAAACTCCGAACCTGTATCGGCAGAGCTTTCTCTCTGCTTAAATGTCTTGAGGTCAAATGTTTCTCTTGCTTGCCATTCTACCATATTCTTGAAAGTTAAATAGTCAAACTGCTGCTGCTATGTTGAAATAAATACTTTACATCATCTGATATTTTGCCCTCCACCCATTTCCAATTTTTGAATATTAGAGTTTCTCTTTCTAATGGAGGGAACAGCTCATATATCTAGAATAACTTTTTTTTCTTAAAAATAATTTTATTTCCATAGGTTTTTGGGGAAGCAGTGGTATTTGGTTACATGAATAAGTTCTTTAGTGGTGATTTATGAAATTTTGGTGTGCCCATCACCCAAGCAGTAATCACTAAACCCGATTTGTAGTCTTGTATCCCTGACCCTCTTTCCACCCTTTCCCTGAGTCCCCAAAGTCTATTGTGTTATTCTTATATCTTTGCATCCTCATAGCTCAGTTCCCATTTATGAATGAGAACATAAATGTTTGGTTTTCCATTCTTGAGTTATTTCACTTAGAATAACAGTCTCTAAGCCTATGTAGGTTGCTGTGAATGCCATTAGTCAATGCCTTTTTATGACTGAGTTTTCAGTCATATGTAAACACCACAATTTCTTTTCTTTTTTCTTTTTTGAGACGGAGTTTTGCACTTGTTACCCAGGCTGGAGTCCAATGGCACAATCTCGCCTCACTGCAACCTCCGTCTCCTGGGTTCAGGCAATTCTCCTGCCTCAGCCTCCCGAGTAGCTGGGATTACAGGCATGCGCCACCGTGCCCAGCTAATTTTCTGTATTTTTAGTAGAGATGGGGTTTCACCATGTTGACCAGGATGGTCTCGATCTCTTGACCTAGTGATCTACCCGCCTTGGTCTCCCAAAG